GAAATGGAGACTAAGCTCATGCAGTTTCTGATGGGTCTAAATGAGGTGTTTGAACCAGTAAAGAAACATATCTTACTAATGGAACCACTGCCTACTATCAATAGAGCTTACTCTATGATATTAAAGGTAGAAAAGCAGAAATGTTTGGGCACTGTTGGTTTGAATCATTTGGAAAGCTCAGCAATGTTTGTGAAGGGAAATGTTGGCAGAGGTAGTGGAAGAGGACAGGTTTTTAATAAAGGTGGTAGAGGTTTTGGAACACAATCTTATAATAATGCAGGTAGAGGAAGGGGCACTCAAAGACTAAGTAAAGAAGAAAGAGCAAAGCTCAACTGCACAAATTGTGGGTTTAATGGTCATGAAGCCCAAGGTTGCTTTAAATTACACGGTTATCCTGACTGGTATAAAGAATTAAAGGAGCAAAGGCAATCACAAAATGTTAATATGGCAGAAAGTGAAGGCTCCTCAAAGGCTGACTCAGAAACCAAGTCACAGCACAGTGATTCACTAGGTGACATAAGCTCCTTGATTCAAAAGGAAGTTGCCAAATACATGTCTAGCCAACAGACCACAGAAACTCATTCTTTCTCACACTTTGTTGACTATACAGAAGATAAGGAAGACTATGCCTTTTCTCTAATCAGAAAACTCAGTAGGGGCTCAGGGATAATTGATACAGGAGCAAGTAAGCATATATGTTCTGATATTAACCTGGTTTGCAAGAAATCAGTGACTACAATGCCTATTGTTGTGAACCTTCCAGATGGTTCAAAAGTGAAAGTAACTCAGATTGGTGAGGTGAGGTTTAATGATGAAATCACACTCAAAGATGTTTTGGTGATTCCTGAGTTCAAATATAACCTGCTGTCTGTTGGACAATTTGTGGAAAAGGATAAACTACAGTTCATTTTTACAAAAGGTGAGTGCAGATTGTTGAAGGGAGATGGAGGTTCAGTCATGGCTGTGGGAAAAGCAATTGGGGGGCTGTATATAATAGAGGGGCATAGTACCTATGTTATTGCTGTTAATGGGAGTTTGATCAATCAGAAAGAATTGGCTCTATGGCATAAAAGAATGGGACACAACTCAATAAATTGCTTGAGGCACTTGAGTTTCATAAACAATGACAGCTGCAAATTAGACCTGGACATTTGTGATGTATGCCATAGGTCAAAACAGTGCAGGCTTCCCTTTCCTCTTAGTCACATACAAAGTAAAGAAAAACTGGAACTTATCCATATGGATGTATGGGGGCAACATCATGAAGAGTCCATGAAAAATACCTCCTACATGCTCACCATAGTTGATGATTATACCAGAGCCACCTGGATTTACCTGATGAGATACAAGGCAGAAACAGTCATTAATGTTAGGGATTTTCTGAGAATGGTGGAAGTTCAGTTTGGAGTTAAAGTTAAGCAGATAAGAACAGATAATGGGGGAGAGTTTGTTAATAAAGAAATGGAAATGTTGTTGAAGGATAATGGAATAATACACCAAAGGACCTGTCCTTATACTCCACAACAAAATGGTGTTGTGGAGAGAAAACACAGGTCCATTCTTGAGGTGGCAAGATCATTGGCTTTCCAGTGCAAACTGCAAAGAAATCTTTGGCCTTATAGTTATTTAGCAGCAGTACAAATCATCAACACATTACCAAGTGAGAAGCTGAAGTAGAAATCTCCTTATGAGCTCTTGCATGGCAGTGAACCAGCATATGGAATGTTTAAGGTGTTTGGTTGCTTGTGTTATGCAAGTAGGCTTGGTCCCAACAGGAAGAAATTTGATGAGAGGGCCATGCCTTGTGTGTTTCTGGGATACATCTCAGGGACAAAGGGGTACAGATTGTATAGTTTGGAATCTAAGGAAGTGTTTGTTTCCAGAGATGTTATATTCTATGAAGAAAGGTTTCCTTTCATAGATAAAGAATCTTTGACCCCAGAACAAGAACCACTGGAGCCAATTGTTGATGATTTTACTACATGTGAGCCTGAACCACATGTGTTGAACAATGAAAGGCATGACCCACCTGCTGAAGAAAATGTTGCAGTAAGAAGAAGTTGTAGGGTCAGGCATCCACCTGCTTGGTTATCTGACTATGAAATGAGTTTACAAAGTGATGAAGAAACAAATCTATTTTTTTCTGAAATAGATAAGACAGCCTCAGAGCCAACTTATTATGAGCAGGCCATTGGTGACAATAGATGGATTGATGCAATGCATAAGGAACTGCAGGCTTTGGAATCTAACAACACTTGGATTCTTACCAAGTTACCAACAGGGAAGAAAGCCATTGGATCTAAATGGGTATATAAAATTAAAAGGAATCCAGATGGCACAATTGATAAGTTCAAGGCAAGATTGGTGGCAAAGGGTTTCTTGCAAAGGGAAGGGATAGATTTTGTGGACAGTTTCTCACCTGTTGCAAAGCTTGTCTCAGTCAGGCTGCTCATAGCATTGGCCACACAACAGAAATGGCAGCTGCACCATATTGATATCAATAATGCCTTTTTGCATGGATTCCTTGATGAGGAAGTATATATGTTACCTCCTAAGGGATATGACAAGGCTAAGAAGGGGGAGGTTTGCTTACTTAAGAGAAGCTTGTATGGGCTCAAACAAGCATCTAGACTGTGGAACATTGAGTTTTCTGATAAGCTCATTGCATATTGTTTTAAACAGTCACCACATGATCATTGCCTTTTCTTCAAACATTCAAGTCATAGATTGCTTGCCCTTCTGATTTATATGGATGATGTGCTCATTACAGGGAAATCTTTGGAGGATATTGGGAATCTTAAGTCTTATCTTCATGATCTGTTTACTATAAAGGACTTGGGACAGGCAAAGTACTTTCTTGGACTTGAAATTCTTAGAACAGGTGCAGGCACTTGCCTTAGTCAAAGGAAGTATATCATGGACATTGTGCATGATCTTGGGCTGGAGAATTCTAAGCCTACCACCACACCTTTGCCACAAGGGTTGAATTTATCTTCATTGCAGTCACCACCACTTGATAATCCAGAGAAGTTTAGAAGATTAGTTGGAAGACTTCTTTATTTGAACCTATCCAGAGCTGATGTTTCTTATGCCATCCAACAACTTAGCCAGTTTGTCCATTCTCCTTCCCAAGGACATTGGACTGCAGGTATGCACTTGCTCAGATATTTGAAGGGAACACCAACACTGGGACTTTTCTATGCAGACAAGACTTCTATGCAGTTGGAAGCATTTTGTGATGCAGACTGGGGGTGATGTGCTATCACTCGACGGTCATTGACAGGTTATTGTATTTTCTTGGGGCAAGCATTGATCTCTTGGAAAACTAAAAAGCAAAGGACTGTGTCAAGATCATCCTCTGAAGCGGAGTACAGATGCATGGCTTCAACAGTTTGTGAATTGCAGTGGCTCACTTACTTGGCAAATGATCTCGGGTTGCCCTTTTCTACTCCTATCTCTCTTTGGTGTGATAACAAGGCAGCTTTACATATCTTTGCCAACCCAGTTTTCCATGAACGAACGAAGCATTTAGACATTGATTGTCATGTTGTTTGTGATCAATATAAAGCCGGTCTCATTTTACCTCAGCACATCTCCTCTTCCCTTCAACCGACTGATGTGTTCACAAAATCTCTTGGTGGTGCTGACTTTTCTCGGTTCATTTGCAAGCTTGGAATGCGGTTGCCTCCCCCCATTCCTTCTTGAGGGGAG